TCTATCCTGTACAACGGAGCTGTAAGTTAAGCATGGTTATTTTACCTATACCGGAGACTCACGTAAGTTACAAAGACTTACACGTTAACCCTGTCATGACCAAGGGGGACACGTTGCCCATCCATATTGTCTGCCTTTTAGATTTCTTGCGAAGCATATTCTAGTTGTAGTACACACGATCACATTGCGAAGATCTATGAAAATGGGTGGCTATGAAGAAACATCAATCCTACCTACAGAACCCATTTGGACACATGTGCCCCAAATAAGTCTATTAAAACCTATATAAATCATTTTTCTATTTATTTCACTTCTTTACTTTCTTCACTTCTTTAGCTTTCTTTACTTCTATACTGAAAAAACATAGCTTTAAACAACAATAGCCCCTTTCAGATTCCTTGTCCCTCAGATCTAAATATTGGTCGAGTGGCTGAAAAAGAAGGGAAAGTAAAACTGAAGTGGACTTGGAGTCTTTAATAACTTAGAAGTGCATTTCACACACAGGAAAAAATAAGTAAAACTAGACAACAACAGCGTCAACAAAACGGAAATTTATTGAGTCATGAGAAGGGAATTTCCCAGTCAGGAATATTATAATCTTCACAAATCAAACATTTGGCAAGTATTAACATTTTACACATTTGTTGACAAAAAAGAAATACAAATAAACAAACTTGCAGAAAATAATGTGAAAGCTATATTGACCCAAATTCTGGACTTTGAGATAAAAATTGTGCTCTGAAATTTTTTCACTCCCTGTGAATACTTATGTTCTTCTGTAACAAGTGATTCAATTTCATTCACACCGAAATATTTGAAATTGTTTCAGTTGTCCTCATCTTTTTCTTTTTTGTTTTGTTTTAAAGGCTCAGTAATAATTGCCTGTCTTTTCAATGGGTAATAAGGCTGGCTACAAAGTGTGCCTTATGAGACGATTGTTATCAACAGTCTGTGTTCAGCTCTCCACCACTGACATAAAACATCTCCTGTTGGCTAATGACCCATCATGACTCTGTAATTTAAGTCATTTGATTGCTCTAGACAAGACTAATCTTTTCACTAGTCCACATGAGTCACTTTCTTCCCAGTCTATGATGTCGAACAATGGTTTTTGTATTTGTTTGTAAGAGTCCCGATGAAGAGGGCTGAAAATAAAGTACGTGGTTCAAACCCACAGGCCGCTCCGGAGGAGAAAGACAACACTATCTTTTCCTACAGGGATGTATAGCCTAGGAAACCTTCTATAGCGGTGGTTCTCAATCGGTGGGTCGCGACTCCTTTGGGGATAGTGCGACCCTTTCACAGGGGTCATCTGATTCATAACAATAGCAAAATTACAGTGATGAAGTAGCAATGAAAATAATTTTATGGTTGGGGATCACCACAACATGAGGAACTGTATTAAAGGGTCGCAGCATGAGGAAGGTTGAGAACCACTGTGTAAGTCATAATTGACTAAACGGAATTGTAATTTTCTGTTTCATTCTTTTGGTTTGAATGTGTGTGTTTTTCCTTTAATACTGTTTTGCAATTGACGACACTGGTATCCTTCATTCCATAAACACAATCCAAAAATGTGTAGCAGGTTCATGTTCAGTGTTATTTAATAAGGGTTAGTAAAAACTATTACTTTACAATTATAGAAAACCTTTATTAAATATATAATTTGGAGCTATTTTTTTCTTGACTTAACCCCCATCTAGGTCTAGGACTATCCATTTCTGAGTTGACATTTCCATCCCTCTAACCTTTCCCTAAGAATTCTGTGATGTTTGATTTTCCTCACCTCAGAACAGAAGTGAGGCATGTTGTTGGGGCTCAAATTATGTTTCTTTTCAATACTCTTTGTATTCCCAGAATAAAAATAATTCTGAAGGGACAAGATCATTGCTGACGAGTGGCTGGGGTAAGGTTTCACAGTGAAATTGTACCTTTGAAGAAGGAGTGGGTGCATTGTCATGATGGAAAAAATGTTCCTTAAAATTTTTTCATAGCCTTTTTTAGGCAATGGAGTTTTCAATTTTCTTTAAACTTCATCATAATAAGCCTTCATGATTATTCTGAATTATTAAAGAAAATATATCAAGGATGTCCTTTGGAATCCTCAAAAAAGAGAAAGCTGGCTTCTATGACATGAATATAATGCGCCCAGCAGGTCCCCTGGAAATACATTGGTGTGACTGGTCTTTTGGGAGGCATGCTAAAAAGACTGGAACCCATGTATAGCTGAGTAAACTAGTCGGCAGAGATGTACGTAAACACATGTTGTTTGGAATAAGGATTACAGGTATGAAGTAGAACCCGACCAACAATAATGCCCTGTCAGTAAATGAAGGTGCAGCAAGCTTTTCCCCGCCCTGTCACCTAGGTCCCTTCTACTTTGAGCAGCTAGCCTTTCTGCCAAGCCTGCTCTGAGTGCCTTCCAACATGCGTAGCTCCTCCTCTAGCCCTGGACTGCCAGTGTCTAGCTGCTGTTCACAATACTTGCTGTGGCCAATCACTTAGAACTGGTTAGCCTCGTCCTCCTTTGTAGTCTTTTTATTCTGGAAGTTCCATTGAAGGCCCTTCACCCTGGGTGATCCGGATGGTATGTGAAATACAGGTGACAACGCTTGCAGCATGACAGTAACACATAAGCCAACATGTTATGATAAACTGATAGATAAGTTGTGGTAAACTCTAATCGTATGTAATTATTCTACAGTATTTAGAAACCACTCTGCAAGGCAAGGTTTTCAATTGCAATCACAGAAATTGAAACTCTTTATTTGCATCTACAATGAAGAGTGAATTCTGTTAGCAACAACACAAGTTTTTTTACCTATACTGGATGAAATACTTCATTGAGATATGGAAGAAAAAGTACGGTAAAGATGAACCCATAGGCCAACAACTATTTAGCCTATCCCATGTGTGCAACTGTACCTCTGAGTCCCAGCAGAGATGCCTCCACCTCAAAATCAATCTGACATTAACTGCTTTAAATTCTATACAGCCCCAATGTATAATAAACTATATATACATATGCACATGCATGTATAAGATATACATCATGCATGTATAGGAAATTGTACATATACTTACATACAGGCACACACACACACACACACACACCAGACTCACTGCCATCAAGCCCTTGCTGACACAGAGCAACCCCGTGGGTGAGTGAGGCTGTAACTGGGTAAGGGGAAGAAACACGGTCTCGCGCCCACGGAGCTGCTGGTGATTTCCAATGGCCCACCTTGCAGACTGCAGCCGAAGGCGTAACCACTACGCCACCAATACATGTTCTCAACATCAATTAGCTGATTTTCAGTTGATAAGAGCACTTTTTATGTAGAAGAAAGACATATGTTGTCTCTTATACTGCCTTATATCCACTAGTAACAGTATTATCCAAATTCCAGATTGAGTTAACAGAAATACAGCAACTGCCTTCTAATCAATTCTCATTCATAAAGATCTATAAAACAGAGCAAAACTGCTTCACAGGGGTCCTTGAGCTGTAAATCTTCTAGAAAGCAGACTACCTCAGGCCTGCAACCTCACCCCCGGAAACACTACCCAACACCCCGAGAACAGACTAGAAATTTGCAGACCAATGCTTAATGCACTGGCCCACTATGCTTTCTATAGCATAAATGTAGCATTATAGGAAGATGTTGTAGCCATCTAAAAGAAAACCTGGATGATCATAAAGAGCATGTCCCACCCAAGCCAAAGTGTCTACATGATTCTCAGAGGATAGGTAAAGAAATATACCAGGATGATGACATAATTATAATGGAGCATCATAGAAAATTACACGCTAAACTGATTTGTCAATGCAAATGCATTGTTCTAAAGAGTTTAGTGGTCAATTCATTGAATTAATATAAACTTATTTATCTGGAAGAAAACAAAATAATTATATTATATATTAAATAAAGCACATGAAATCATCTGTCAAATTAGAGTTCACGTTTAATACTTGAGGTTTCTCTAAAATATATGGATGAAGAGCAAATAGTGAAGTCTTTATGAAGATGGCTTCTCAGATACTAGAATTTTTTGCATCTTAAAAAATTAGTTTAATAGCTGTCCTTTGCTTTAAGTTTGAAGTAGGGAACACGAGAAATCCCGCCCCCCCTTGGGTGCATGTGGGTAAATGAGGAAGTGCCCAATTTATGCTCTGTAAGCAGTGCAGTGCAATCTGTGTGGCTCTTGAGCTCTATATTTTAGAACCTCTTGACATTCACAATTAAACAAATTTAGTTTCCTGCTTCATATGACCCTCACAAGCAGGAGCTCAACTATATAAAGGTATAATTTTTAAGTGACAAATGTCCAATAGATTCTCCTGAGAATCATACTCCACGGTTTGCACACTCTTATGAAATTTTCTTTTGATGCTTTATCTACCAATACGTTATTCTTTTCCTCTCGTATTAGATATGAGTGGATTAGCACAGGAGGAAAAAAAATCTTCCACTAGTGGTCGAACAGACTACTACTTTGCTTGGATGCAAACCCACCCAAAGGGAATCAATCATTTTTTCTTTCTTAATCATAAAAGTGCCATGTTTTTGTATAATTTCTCATGAGCAAGGGCTTTCTAAAATGAGTAAAACATGAAGCCTGCTAAGAGATTAACCAAAAGTGTTTGCAGTAACGAACCACAGATTAGGTATCGCCTATACATCACACCTCATATAATTCAAAATGATGGCACTCTTCCTTAAAACAGTCCTGAACGTACTCCCACATTGCATATGTACCCACATATACAGAGACATATGTGCACACACAGATGCAAGTTCTAGTATATATGCATATATGCTTCTGTTTTTAAAAATACAAATTATGAGCCAGTTATAAATTGGCCAATTATCATGATTATTTTACAAACAAGTCAACACATTTGAAGGGAAATTATTGAATCGATTTCCAATTTCATCTTCTCACTGTCATGACATAGCAAGCAAACACTTCCAGGAAAGACCGTACTGTGTATGTCTTACCTTGTCATGCACTTTCTGGCCCGCCTCAATCCCTTCCAGATGTTCTGACTCTATGGAGCCCTCACTGGATGCCATTTTTCTTTGAATATGAACATTTTGTTCACGCAATGCAACAATCTGCAAAATAAAACACTCTGTCTTTAGAATCTAAATTAGAGCACAACTTAAAAGACTAAAATGAATGTGGATATGAACTAATGAAAGCTAGGTGATCAGAAAGTAAACATTAAATCGCATGCAGATTATATCAAACATATTTTTAAATTTTAGGTTAACATTTGAAGTATTATTTAGAGGAATCAAACTATCTCTTCAAATGGTCCTTATTTTAGCACTGTTAGTTCAAACTTAATTAATCGGGGAGGAAATATCAGAGGACAATTGATTCTTGTAAATTTACTGCTCAATTTTACATGAGTGATTCAACTAAGAAAGGGATACATAAGAAGTTATAAGTAATTTTAGTAACATAAAGAGTAAAGAATAGCATTCTGCTGCCTTTATATTTTAAGAATATATGGTTTCTATTTATATATTTACTATCTATACAATACCTTAGAAATATTTACGTAATATTAATCTTCAGATATGTATTTCATGGCAAATTTTATTATCTTATCTACTAAGATATTGAACCAGTATTGGTTCTATGAGTAAACAATATGCACAACAAATATTTAACTTATCATGAATTATGAACATTATTCCAACTGAATTATTGTTAAATTATGGCATAGGATATATCTGCAACATAGATGAAGAATCATCAGCTAAATGAAAGTCTTAAAGGGGTTGGTGATTGTACAGCTCCCTGGACTGCTCAGATGGATCAAGGTGCATTTATTATATTAGGTGATCTTGCGAATGATCTTTGACATACAATGATCTTTGATGTATATATATCATAGCATTTCTTATGGGGACACCAATTTCTTAAGGAGAACAACTATGCAAACACTCCTCTCTCTTATAATACAGGACTTGTTACTAAATTCTCTTATTTCTGCTCTCGTACAACCACAATCTATTCCTAAGAAAGTCATCAGATTCACCTTTGAAAACTTAAGTTAGATCATTACCCAGGTTTTTAAAGTAGTTCATGATTTCCCCACATATTTACCATAATTTCAAACCTCTTTAAAGTTCTATGGGAGTGAATCATAAATTATTGCTACTGGAATCTAATTCATACATGCATGGATTTATTCTAAAAAAAGATGTATGTAAATATGTCTCAATGACCAGTGGCTGGGCTGTGGACAAAGTTTCTCAGCAACACATTCATCTCAGTCTCAAATGCGTGTTTTCAAAAGAAGGTCCAGTCAGAACAGTGGTGTCCATGGGTCTATACAAGATCAGTTAAATCCTTGGCTCAAAGGTTGGCTCAGAATGTTGAGGTAACTTTTTTGTATTCCAAAGGGGAAATCTTAATAGATTTCCTCAAATGGCACGAGACAATTATGAATGGTTCTTATGAAGATGTTAAAAAAAACACAAAATTTAACATTCCCTTGGCCAAAAAAAGGTGCAAACATTTGTGATTTTGTGAGCGGCTGACTTGATCACACACTCTCGTTTCCAGGTCCATCCATGTCATTGGGTGTTTCATGGTTCCATTGGTATTTTTTAGGGTTCCGTAGTATTTCATTGTGTGTTGCACTTACCAGAGTTTCTTTATTCATTCTTCTATTGGTGGGTAGTTGGGCTGTTTCCAGCTTCCTGCTACTGTGAACTTTGCTGCCATGAACATGGGACAGCATACACCTTTTTGTGTTGTCTCCTATTTATTTGGGGTCTATGCCCAGCAGTTATTGATGGCTTCTATGATCTTTCTATTTCTAGTTGTTTTAGGTTGATTGTATCACTTCCCACAATGGTTGTACATATTTTTGAGTATTTTTCTAGTTGTACTGATAATAATAATTGTCTATTTGTCACTTCAATTCTGTAGAAGTTGGATTAATGTATTTTGAGGCTTTTGTGTAGGTGCATAGATATTCACTATGGTTAAATCCTCTTGTTCAAATGAGACTTTGATCATTCTATAATACCCTTCTGTATCTCCAATGCTAGATTTGGCCTTGAAGTCTACTTATAATAAATTAATATTTTCATTACTGCTGTGGTATTTTTATCATTAGTTTGCTGAAAACATTTTCTATCCTTTAATTGTTTATCTATTTTTTGTCTTTGTGTAGCAAGTATATTGATGTGTCATTTTCTCATCCATTCTGCTGTGCCTCATGATTGGTGCATTGAACCTATTTATATTCGGTGTAATTATTGATAGGTTTGTATCTATTGTCATCATGACCTTTTTTTTTTATAGGGCTGCTTGCCTCATTATTTCACATAATTTTCCATGCTGAACCGAACTCACTTTGTTCATTAATTTTCCTGGTAGTGTTTTAGTGTTACAAAATATTTATAATTTTCCTTTTTTATTTTGATGATGCTTATTCATTTCATTTAAGGTTACCCTGTAATTTATTAATTTCATCCCACATTTTAAAAATAATATTCTCAAATTCATCTCTACTTGGATGTTTTATACCTTCAATTTTTCTCTATTTATTTTGTAATTGTATTTGTTGCAAATTGATATCTTTGGTTCATTATTTTCAGTCTTGTAGATATTTTATATCTGGATTGACTTTGGTGGGTTTCCCATATGTTAATCTCAGGTCATTCCTACTGCTTTATACTCTGTATAAAGAAATTCCCTTAGTATTTCATGTAAAGTTGGTCTGGTCTTTACAAAGTCCTTTAATTTCTGCTTATTTGGGAATGTCCTAATTTCCTCATCCTATTTTAGGGGGGATTTTGTTCAGCATAAGATTGTTGGTTGACATAACTGCAGTGAACCAGTAGAGAGGTCTGAGGGGCTGGCCTCAAACCCAACTACGTGGACAGCTGCCCCTCCCCACAGAAGAATTGACTTCAGAGGACAGCAATGAAGCTAAAGCTCAGGGAGAGTGACATGTCTGATCAGAGCACACGGGAGCAAATGAAGAGGGAGGGAGAGAGAGTGGAGCACATCCTGACCCACCAAGCCAGGAGGAGGATTTCCCTGCCATATGGTATAAATACAGGCATGTACATAAGTAAATATAATTATATGAGGAAGGGGAAATAGATCTATGTGCATATATTTGTAAGTTTAGAATTAAGGTAGCAGATGGACATTGGGCTGCCACTCAAGTACTCCTTCAATGCAAGAACACTTTGTTGTATTAAACTGGCATTCCATGATGCTTACCATTCCAACACGATTGCTGAAGACAAAGCGGGCCCATAAGCAAATGTGAAGAAAGCTGATGGAGCCCAGATATCAAAAGATATAGCGTCTGGGGTCTTAAAGATTGGAAGATAAACAAGCCGCCATCTAGCTGAGAAGCAACAAAGCCCACACGGAAGAAGCACACCATCCTGTGAGATCACAAGGTGTCGACGGGATCAGGTATCAGGCATCAAATAACAAACAAATCATATCATTGTGAATGAAGGGGAGTGCAGAGTGGGGACCCAAAGCCCATTTGTAGGCAACTGGACATCCCCTCACAGAAGGGTTTCAGGAGGAGACAAGCCAGTCAGGGTGCAGCAATGATGAAACATACAACTTTCCTCTAGTTCTTTAATGCTTCCTCCCCACCATTATCACGATCCCAATTCTACCTTACAAATCTGCTGGACCAGAGAATGTACGCTGGTACAGATAGGAACTGGAAACACAGGGAATCCAGGACAGATGAACCCCTTGGGACCAGTGGTGAGAGTGGTGATACCGGAAGGGTGGAGGAAAGATGGGGTGAAAAGGGGGAACTGATCACAAGGATCCATATATAACCCCCTCCCTGGGGATGGACAATAGAAAAGTGGGTGAAGGGAGATGTCTGATAGTGTAAGACATGACAAAATAATAATAATTTATAAATTATCAAGGGTTCATGAGGAAAGGTGGATGAGGAGAGAGGTAGGGGAAAAATGTGGAGCTGATACCAAGGTCTCAAGTAGAAAGAAAATGTTTTGAGAATGATGATGGCAACAAATGTACAAATGTGCTCGACACAATGGATGTATATATGGATTTTTGATAAGAGTTGCATGAGCCCCCAATAAAATTTTAAAAAAAGAAGAAAAGATTCTTGGCTGACAATATTTTTGTTAAATTTTACATCTGCCTTCCCATTTTCTTCATGCGTACATGGATTCTGCTGAGACATTAGACATTATTCTTATTGGTTTCCCTTTTAGGTAACTTTTCACTTTTTTGAACTTTGCTCAGTTTATTCCTTGCCTTTGGAAAATTTGATTATGGTATGTCTGCTGATTTCTTTTGGGGGGTCTATCCTGTGTGGTTTTCATTTAGTTACCTAAATGCATATTTTCTTGTCTTTCATGATGTTAGGGGACTTTTCCCACCAACAACTCAGAACAATTTTCTCTGTGCTTTTACTATTTCTTCTTTTTCTGGGATTCCAATGACATGTGGGTTACTCCTTTTGATGATGTCCTACATAATTGAGATTTTCTACAAAATTTTGCTCATTTTTATTGTTCCACTAGCAGGTAAGACTTGAGAGACTTAACTTTTTGAGCTCACTAATTTAGTTTTCCATTGATTCGTCTACTTCTTTCCTCTTTTGATACATTATATATTTCAAAACCATAGTATTGTGCTCTTCTCTTTTTATTTGTTATTTTTGTATAATTATAGTTTATTCTTATAGTGCTTTTCTGAATTTTCAAATGTTTTTATTCCCTAAAATGTGTTTTCCTTGTATTAATTAACCTTGCTTTTAATGCATTGGAACCTAGATACCATTCTTTTCTATCATTTTTAAACTTTGCATTGGTAAAACAAGAAAACAGTAAACAGAGAGTTAAAAGGGGAAGTAATTAAAAAGAAAAAGGGAAGAAAAATGAGCAAGAGAATTCTGACAAACAACATCAAACTAAAATAAAACAAAGGAAATTCGATAGTTAAAAATGAAACACTGATAGGAAAGTAAAAACAGAGGCAGGACAGAACAACAAGAAAACCAATGCCATTATCAAAACTAGGGAAGGGTAAAAGAAGACAATAGTAAAGAAAAAATGACAACAAAGAGAAAAGA